GAATATGGAAAAGTTTAATGAAGATTTAAACAATTTGTTAAAAAAAAAAAAAGTTCAAATACTTCATTTTTTACCAAGTTAAAATATAATCAATTAATTTTATATATAAATCAATTAAAAAACAATTCAAAGAAAAAGGAACCGAATGATTATAAACTTTTAAAAAAATATGACATTTAAAAAGTGTCTAATGTTAACAAGTTAATTGTACCAGTATCTGAAAACAACAAAATTAAATATTATGTCCTAATGAAGAGTTATTTGATGTTATACATAATGTTCATTGATTGATTGGACATGGTGGACAAAACAGGATAGAACACAAGGTAAATAAAAAATATCACCAGAGATATGATTATGCTATACTTAAATAGTTGCAAATTGTGTAAAAAAAAAAAATGAAGTACAGCCAAGAAAGGATTGGTGGTGCAATTAATTATAACTACTGAGATGAATTAATCAATAATATAAATACATGTCATTATTCATTGATTTATCATATTTCATTAAATCGTATCACCTGTAACCTATATTGTCCTATATACGAAGAGCATTTTATATACTGTCCAGAAATGTATAAAATGCCAAAATTGTATACTTTGCCCGTAAAATATATATATATATATTTATTAAATATTCATGTAAAATAAATTAACTATTTCTAATGTTAGTATTAAAATGTTTTCAATCACATTAGGTCATTGAAAATATAAATATTACCTAACTATTTTAAAAATGAATAAATATTAGATATGTATGGAAAAAAAAGTCTACTTAATTTCGGTTGAGACATTTTTAGCAGTATTTTATCAAGTATAAATTAAAAGTACTTTAAAAAATTGCTGGGATGTTCGTTTAAAAATAAAAAAAATTCAAGACATTGGACGACTGTTGAAGTACAGTTTATTTGTTGAAAGGTATGCGTTTTTGGAAAACATGCTACAAGTTAGGAACCGGTAAGTATTAGACGTTCCAGTTTCTGAAAATACGATTCGAATGCAACAACCGACGGTTGGAAATCGTAATGACGAGATTTAAATGCGCACGTGTAAACAATTTAAAAATCGATTTACCCGAAGTGTTGGCCGGCGAACTCATTGAGAACGGAGACGGCTGGCCGGTGGTTTTTGGTGCGCCGAAGTTAAAACTCATGATCACGGTATTCGTTCAATTTCAACGTGAACAGCGTTCACTGAACACCGATGACTGTAGCGAGTAGATAAAAAAGGTAAACGGAATGAAAACAGGGTTGCCAACTGACCGGTTTTCGGCCGGACTAACCGGTTTTTTAATACCAAAGATGGTTGCTGGTTTTGCATCAAACCGGCCATATAAGATGGCCGGTTATTTTATTTTTCATAAAAAAATGTATGTTTTCAATGATTATTATTATTCCTAATTAGTTTTTATACTGAATCAAAATTCAAATTGTTAGTGAAATAACTTTTTTTTTTGTCATATGCACTGTACGACTGTCCTGTGTTGAGCAGTTGCCGAATAACAGCAGCTGACGCCAGACGCACATGTCACATATTATTGATAAATAATATTAGATAATAAAAAAAATAATGATTACACATTTATACATTTTATATTATTTTTGTTATTACTTTGCGTATTCTTGCATGATATATATTGCAAGCAAGTCTACAGTGCAAGAAATTGCAACAAAACATTGTGGTATAAGAGGTTTTAACATATAAATTTCATTGTAATATATTTTCTTTGTTAAATAAAGTGTATTAAATTATATTGTATTGTATTATATGTACATAGATACGACTTAAACGTTAAAAGTTAAAAGTTATTAGTTAGAAGTTAAGTTTACTTAAATTAGTTTTATAAGTTATAGTTAGTTTAATGTTATAAGTAGCACAAAATTATGTAATATTTAATATTTTCGTTCGTACCTATATATATATATATATATATATATATATATACATATATTATAGTTGTACCGTAACGCGCTCACGTGAACAAAGACGTTAGTAAAAGATGACTAGTTCATGCATCAGCCGGAAAATCCTTTTGACAAGAACCAGGTGACTGCCAAAGATGCGATTTGTAACTGGTACAAAGAGGGGAAAAATTACAATTCCTCGAAAGAACCTAGAATTCTCAAATCAGATAATGATCGGAGCATACGATAAAGCATATATTTATTAAACGTTTCTGAAGTATCGCCGAGTGTGAGAGTACCTATTATTTCATTATACATGAAAATGATTAAAAAGTCGCCGTACAGATCGTTGTTAATATTGTTGTTCTACGGGAAGTACTTATAATATATTGTAGCAATGTTCGTGTTGCACTGAAGTAAATTGTTATTGTTAAATGCACATTTTATTTTTGCTTCAGAACGCCACTACAATCGCTTGACGTAGTTAATCCGAAAGTATTTTATAAACATGAAAATATATAAAAATATTTCACTCAACATTTTATAAATGACATACTAGTATATATTTGACTATAGATGTCGACGATTATTGAATGTGGATGATTATACAACATATTATAACTGTGGCCTGTGGTGGGGTTTTGAAAATTATTCGAGTTAGCTATTGCAAACAAATGTATTATTAGTATTAAACAACCACGATAATATACAATATGTTAGACGATTTTTTTTATATTGGATGTAGGAAGAATCAAAGGTGAACATTAAGTGATTAAAATTTTAAGAACTATCGAACCTGTTAACTTATATATAACTTTTTAATTATCTAATTGGCTTTATAACTTGATTAGTTTAATAATACAATAGAATAATTTTGTATTTTCCAGTTAATTTGAAAAATAATATGTTAAATTATAATTATATTTGCACTTATACGTACATATCTACAATTAGGAACCTATTTAAAGTCAAATAATTAAATAACTATCAGTAATGTGTACAAAGAGAGAATATGATGTATGTTCTACAAAATATTTTATGAGTATTAGAAAAATTGAAAATTGTACATATCATGTGTTTTGTTTTCTTCTGATTTATTTCATATTATCTCCCAGATTATATAATCATAATCTTGCGAGACATGGTCCTTAACGAAAGGCGATAAATTTTTTTAATGATATTTGAGAGAAAAATAATTCGAAACATATGAGCCACGATTCAACCAAGAAACAAACACTTCTGAAAGAAGAAACCAAGAATTACAGAAATTGTACAACCGGTGGCTTATATATAACTTTTGTATGGAAGGGGATGATCATTTGCAAACAAATTATTATTTTTATTTTATCATAACTTTTTTTTTACGTTTCTAACGCCCTCACACTAAGAACATTATTTTATAACATTAAAAAAAAAAAAAGCCTGTGTACAACAGACCAAATATCTTAGCGTTTATTAGGAATAAATAGCTAGTGGTTTGGAGAGCAGATGTACAACTAATAAAAAAAAGTACTTGTAGGAAAAATTAATAAAACAAGGCTCTTAGGAAGACCAAGAACCCGTGGATCGATGTAATAACCAGACTTGAAAGAGATAGACCAAAATGTAACCTTTGAGTTGACTAATAACAGAAATGGATGGCGAGATCTCTTGACGGCAGCAATAGTTCTTAATGAACCGGTATGCTGAAAAGAATAATCTGTGGTATTATTCTATAAAAATGCAGGCATAAACTACCTAGGTACTGTTATTCACAATCATAGTCGTAATGTTATTTTATTTACGTATTATATCAATCATAATACAATATTGTAACCCGTCTGAATAACACATGAGAAATCGAGTTATTACGTGTTTGTTGTAATATTTTAATTCGTGGTTCACATAATATATTTGTTTTCGTTGTTTCTATAGTAAACTACAAAAACAAAATAATTAATTATTTCCAATACACCAGGCCACTTCTTACACAAAGGCGTTGTCCCGATTGCCCGGCGGGCCACTCCGTCCCTGATTGAAGGTATTCTGTATTGATACGTTTGCCTGGCACGACTTAGTCAATGTACTATAGTAATGAACATAGGATATTTGGTCATATCTGAAGAGGGGCTTGATAGTTTTACTTTAACTTAACTTATTCAATATTTAAGTTTTAAACTTCAATCAACTACATAAGTACCTTTTTCTTAACTGTGTTAAGCATAAACTATGTGTAGGTTACAGTGTAAATAATTTATATCCACTTATATTTAATTTTAATTTTATAAATGTAACCACAAACTCAAACTCAACTATGTTATAATTTGTTGCATTGCAGAAAAAATCGTGATTTTATTAACCTAGTATACCTATACTTGATTATGAACTTTTAATTCAAAACCGGTTACAAATATAATTAAACTCCAGGCTAAGCATTTATTTCTTTATATAAATTAACTATTTGTTTATTTATTTATTTATTTATTAATTATTTTATGGTCCACTTAAAGTGTTTAGGTTTGTAACTTTTGTATAGAAAAAGAAAATTGGCATCCACTTTTAGTATTTTCTATTTACTTACTATTATCTTCTTATTTATATAATTTATAATTTTTTACTCTATACTTTCACAATAAAAATCAAGAAATATATTTTTGGTCTACTCATGTTACATGTACATTAGGATGATTAAATCTTATTAATAACTACCGAACTTTAAAAATTATTATTGTAACTTAAAAATAATAAGTAAAAGCAAATAACATTTTACATAGTAAAAAATTCCAAAAAAAATTCACATTTAGATTAAATTGATAATTATACCAATTGAAAAACAAAATTTTAGAGTTTGAGAATTAACATTGATTTTATTATATTAAAATCTTAGTCATAGTGATAGCAAATATCTGGACTATACTGATAAATTAAAGAGGTATTAATCTATCAATACATTAGTCATTTAGCTGGTTTAGTTAAGTTCCAATAGTGTTGACTCAATATGTCTTCTGAAAAGAGGCTTGCTGTCAAGGACTTTCATATGCAGAGGATATATCTAATAATAAATCTAAGTTTAGATAAATTTTAAGTAGGTAGGGTTAAGTGAAAAAAAAATTAAAAAATTAAATATTTTGGTAATATATTAACATGATGGCATTAATTACAACATTCAAAATATGTAGTAATCAACATAATTAAACAAAGTAGGTAAAGGAATTAAAGTTCTTGTTATTTTGGTTTTATATCAAATGCTTCAAATGCACCCTGTGATGGATCAATTAAACACGGAAAAATATTAGGTGAAGGAGGAGGGCTTAACCGGAATACTGGATCATAGCGTGGAGGAACTGAAACATAGTGAAATACAGCATTTATTAAATCAAAACTCATAAAATATTTAATTAATACCGTACCTTTAACATGAGAGTTACTATCATTGTGTTCAGACATATCACTATCTATAAAGAAAAACATTAACAGTTGCAAAAAATGTGGATAAATATATTCTTAAAATTACTATTAAAAATAAAATTACAAATAAAAACCAGTAATATAAAACAACATATCATTGTTGATTAAAATTCTAGAAAAATCAACCATTTAATGGAATAACAGACAGAAATAATTGATAGCAAAAATTTCTACAGAAAATATACATTTGTTAATAAGATATAAAGAATAATATAATAATTTTTATGATCGCTTTAATTTTGTTATACACTTTTTTCACATTAATTTTTAAAAAGTAATAATAAGTTAATCACTAAACCCTGATATAAAAAATAATCATCTGTTTAATTTTCTAAGTACTTTTTGAAATTAAAAAAAAAACAATAAAAAAGACTATTATTTTTCAAACTAAATTTAATTTTATTAATATAAAATATCAGAAGTAATCAATGTTCTAAAAGTACTGTATAATGAATATAACTTTAAATTACCTAAAAACTATTTTAGGTCATACAATTTTAATAAATTAATATTTACTAAATAAAACATTTAATAAATTAATTTATATGCTACGAAAATAAAATAAAATTGCAGTTCGGCTATAGCGTTCAATCATGAACACATGTACACTGTATCGTATCGTATTCGCTCCGTTATCGCTGTGCGCTCATTAGTAATTTATTACGGTCACTATATTGACTAACAGTTTCAATTTTATATTTACATCATTATGATGGACAACGTTCAGAAAACTGGTCCTGCTTCGCCGTGTACACCAAAATCCACAAAACGAAATTTGTCATTCTCGTCAATTTCGCCAAGTCAAAATGACAAAAAAACTTAAGTCTATGTTACACCAAACCGTTTCGCCCTACTTGCCACTAATGACACCAATGACATAGCAACAACTACGACTTTTGTCAACCTCAAGGAAGATCCTGTGAACTCGCCTAGCATTGAACGAGACAAGGGGCATCCAGCTCCACCTATCCATGTTAAGGACATAAAAAACTACTCCGCTTTCAATAAGGTATTAACCAACATCACCGACTCAAATGGCTTTACCTGTAGGTCAACGTCGTTAATATCATCATAAAACCTGCGGATCGGGAAAATTTCAATAAAATCATTGACCATTTACATGAAACAAATGCTAGCCTCCATTCATACACCCCCCGTCACCTTCGCCCATACAGGAAAGTTATCAGAAACCTACACTTTTCTGCCTTAAGTAATGACATTTCTAGTGCCTTAGCTGAGTTAGGACACTCAGTTAAACACATATACAATGTTAAGAATTAAAGTAAATGTTCTTTACCTTTATTCTTTGTGGATATTTTAACACAATACAATAACAAAGACGCTCTTGGCATCAAGTTTCTACTCAATACCAAAGTTTCGATTGAGAAACCACATAAAAAGGTACGTGGCCCACCACAATGTTACAATTGCCAACTTTACGGACACACGCGAAACAATTGCTGCCATGAACCTAAATGCGTGCTCACGAAAGCGTGCTCCAAAGACCTTCATAGTCCACCCAAATGCGCCCTTAGCACAAAGAAACACACTGCAAATTTTAAGGGATGCCCAGTTTACAAAACTACTTTCAAAAACAGTCCAAAAAGTCCATCCAGCCAAGGGCTCTGATTCAAACGCCCAGTCCAAGACCAAACATGCGGAAGCCACAAAAATTCAATTATCACACACGGAGAATGATATCGCCGACACTATATCAACTTTTATTTAAAATCTAAACTCATTGATTGGTCCCCTTATCCAGTGCTGTAGTTCTAAAAAAGGCAGAGGGTATACTATGAGTTATAATATTAAACATTTATACTATCATTAGGTATCATATCAAGTATCTAAAACGCATAATCGTCTTTCCTTTTTCTTTATAATAAACTTCCCGTTTTTAACCAACTATCCATATTATAACTGCTTATTAAAATAGATTTGCAAATAAAATAAACACGTACCTTTTTAATAATCGACTGGACATAACTAATACACAGATATGATATACGAATCATTGTCAACGGCAAAATGAAAAATGAAGGAATGGATACACTACACAGTATTATGCGACGGCTGAACATTTTATTTTTATCTTAAATACAGATATTATACAGTTATTTGATTGTTATATTATCTAATCTACAGTACATGTCCGTCAATCGCCCAATATATATAATTTCACTACAACAGAGAATATACGATCTTAATCTGAAGATATACGGAGTTTATAAGAAATAACCAGAAAGTATACGGCGTATACCACCGTATACCCTCCACTACAGCACTGCCCTTATATTCCTTCTCACGACAGTCCTAAACACTTAAAGTTGGTTACACACGTAGCGTTTCGTGTGCTGCGTTTTCGCGTTTCGGAAATTATGTGTTTTATCATTTAAAATTAAATACTCATTATGTATATATATATAATTATGTATTAATTGTGTATATTAGCACGATAAGCATAAACGGAGTATTCGACAGCTGTCGAACGCTCCAAGACGAAATGGTTCAATTTCTGAGCGTCCGTACGCTATCAAACGCTAAAATTAGACATGGGTTTTGTAATGTAGTTATACACAAGGGGCGTATCTTTTGCTGCGTTTTTTTACTATCTCGCAATACTACATACATATTCGTTAATAATCAATTATATTTCATTCATAAAATTATATCAACGAAGTGCGTTTTCACTCTGCAGTGAATATTGTTGTATAGGTACCTTAGTACCTACCTACCTACTTTTTTTCTGCAATGGCATTTAATGGGTGTACCCAACAACGTCTTCTGTTTATTTTTTGTTTTTGCATTTTGTGTTTTTTGAATGAAACGTAAGCAACACATGTCGTTTCAATATCATTAAACCGATCCATCATAGATGTAAAAATAACAATTTTGATAAAAAAAAATTAACTTTCGAGTTGACTTCCCTCGACCACGTTGTAATTTGAACTGAACAATGACCAGACCGTATGGACTAAGAATTTTAAACATGTTTTTGCGCATTTTTGGTAAAGAAAAACGGGTTTAGAACGCAGATACGCTCTTCTCGAGTGAATATACTTACAGCGTTCGCGTTTCGATACGCAGCGCACGAAACGCTACGTGTGTAACCAGCTTAAAGCTAATAGTAGTATTCCATAATCTTATCTCTTTTCCTTATATAATTATATTAATAAATATCCTCATTAACTCTATTCAAAAACGTCAAATTGTATTCTCAATAACAATCTCAATTAATAATAATACATTAATAATTTAGTATCATTATTATCAATATTATTTATATTATAAATATGTTACTTATAAAATTTAAAATTGTCAAAATACTTGTAATAACAGTGTGTTGAAACATTTTAAGTTATAACAAATGAAAAAAAAAAAATAAATAAAATTGTAAACTTACTTAAATTTTTTTCCACCTGTTCACCCTCTTTATTTAAAACAATAATTTCTTCTACTTCATCAGTTTCTTCAGTATCTATAGAATAAAATTATTTAATTAAATTTATTTATTTTATTTATTTAATTATCTATTTTAATATACATAGATACATTTTTATTCACATTTTAAAGATATATTGATGTCATAAAATAAAAAAAAAAAATAAAAATTTAAAAGTAAACTTACCATCATAATTAAATTTATATGAAAACTATGTATTTAAATTCCATACAATTTAATTAGATTTGTTATATAAACAGATTATGCAATATACTAATATCTTGAATGCATTAAAATTAAAATAATAATTCATGGTAACAAGACTTACACTGTAAAATATTATTAATACTTGATGGCACATCAGAAAAATTATTACGAGGAACTTTTTTTAATTTACTAACAGTGTCTGAGATACATCTTTTTCGCTGTAACATAAATAAATATAGTATAATTAAATAATTTTTATTGATTAAAATATTACACTTTTAAGTATTAAAAATGGAAAACTAAAATATTATTTAAAAAAAAAATAACATAAAACATACCTCAAATTGGCCAAAAGCTTTGAATGAAATAATGTTCATATTAACTGGAACAGTTTTAGAGTTAAAATGTATTCTAAATGGCATACTGCTATCATATGATTTAGTATTATAGTTTCGGTTAAATTTGGTTCTTGGAATGGAAATACTAGCTCCTCTAAGAGCTTCCATAGGTTGTACTGTAAAAACTGATCGTTTTTCTTGGTGGTTAGAGATTTCACTACTCAATAAATACATATAACGAGCAAACGATTTTTCTTCTTTAAGCACTTTAAAATCACGACTTAGAATCTGAAATAAAAATAATTATTTAAATATTTTTGAATTTGAAAAATATAATATTGTAAATATTAAACATTTATATTAATAATATCAGGCAGATAAGCCTACTGGGAATTTGGGATTTTTCTGGTAGGCCTCACCTCATATTTTGTCTTAACCCAAAATTGTCTTAAAAAAGCAAAAATGAAGCATATTTATTTAAAAAAAAAGCAAAAAAAGCATGATCAAAAGTTAACATGAATTAGTTATAAAACTGAATAAAAAAAATTAATTAAATTAGAAAAATAATTAACTATCATGTATATTGTAAGATTTGTAGTAATGAAACTGTCTCCATTATCTGACAGAATGTTTTTATACATAGAAAATGAATGCTTTATATCTACTGAAGTTATTGGTACATACTTTATGCAAGAGGTTTCGTTTAAATCTAACTGATAATTAATTTTGTTAAATTAAATGCCTATTAATGTCTATTAATTGTTTCCAGCTTTAGTTTTTCAAAAGAACATGATTTAGTTTATCCAAAATTGCAGTTTGCATAATAAGTGTATTTTAAAGTTAAATTTTTTACTAGATTAAATTACATATAAATTCATTATTAATTTTTTATATTAAAATTAAATGGAAATAAGATTTAAGGGGGAGCTTTTTTAAATTTACAATTTATAAGTTATGTTAGAACGTTAAGTACTAACTGTTGGTATTGAACGCTGTTTTATTTACTTAAGTAAAAATGAATGTCTAATATAATAAACTATTATTTAATTTGTATATGTACTAATTTTAAGACTGGTCTACTTAATGCTTATTTATTAATTAGTAATTATTAATTACCTATATAACCCAATGATGACCTTAGCCAAAACTAGCAGCTACCATTTTAAATTATTATAATAGTCGGGTCATTGTATATTTTTATTTTATAATTTTACAAATACCATTGACATCATACAAATGAGTAAGTACAAATCTACTATATTTTAATTAGATTAAATTGAAATACATTATAGTAATAATATTGATATATTTTACAATTCTAGATAAAGAATTATTTGACAACATCCCTAGTACTTCTTCATTAGATTTATCTGGATCGACTGGATCACTGGTTTTTAAACAAAATGAAAATGAAACTATTTTAAATTTGGATAGTGACTGCACTAATAATTCATCTGAAGAAGCTAACCGTTATTGTCAGCGTACAAAACACCTTAATAAAAATATCAATATAATGATAACTATCTAAATCCATTCATTTTGTATTTAATTATATATATATATATATAATTATTTCTACAAACAAAACATTTAGTATTATAAATAAGTATAATTTAAAAAGTTTAAAGCAATCAGATACCTACTAAAAATGATTGAACAATTTGTTTATCTATTCCTTTTTAACAGCGATCCATTAGATATGTCTTAACATTCTTACTTATTACAAATTTTAGATATGTTATTTTTGTCTTTTAAGGTTTTGATGATGATTATTTCAAAAAACCTAATGAAAAGAATTTCTTTGGCAATTTAAGTACTGGCTATTTCATCCTTATCAACTTGAAAAAAACATTCCATTCTCATCATTAAAAGTATATTTCCGAAAGATGGAGAAAAGAGAATGTAGGTTTCTTATAATTACAAGAATTCATCTTTTTATTGTTGCATATGTTGGCTTATGGTGATGGTACTGGCATATTTTCTATTGGTTTAATGAAGTGGAAACATGTTTATGAACACATTGAAGGGCATAAAGTAACTTTATTTCATAGGCATAATGTTGAAACTCATATCATGACGAAAAAACAGTGTTTCTGTTGATTCACTTATAAAATATGGACTGAGTTTAGTGAGAAAAAATCAAATTAAAAATAATAGGCTAGTATTATTTCGAATCATTGAGATTGTAAAACTAACTGCCAAGCGTGGTCTTATCTATTGAGGACAGAAATTTGAAGCAGCTGTGTAATTTAATAATTTTGATAATGCTTATTTGTTAAACTAGTCACTTCACTAGAGGAAATTTGTAAAAAACTCAAATATTAAACCTGAAGCACACTTAAAATCTATTGGTTTTATTGAAGGACATAAAAAATATGAAACCATTCTTAATACCCTAATATATTTAAGGATTTTCAATATAACTACTTCTCTTTCTAAATATATCCAAGGATGTGTCGTTAATTTTATATGGGCTTTTCAAATGGTTACCCAAACTCTTGATAGTTTAAAATGAATGAATCGTGATTTTACCACTATTAAACAGGCTGCTGATAGTTTTGTTATATGGGCAAATAATGAACTAGATAAAATAGAAAATACTAATATCCAAATTAGTGATAGAGTACCAACTACTCGACTAAGAAAAAAGACTTAACAATTTACATACGAATTTGCAGATGATTAAACTATGAATCCATTAAAGTTATTTGAAGTTAATGTTTGCAATGTAATATTTGACTCAGTTATTCAAAGTATTGAATTACGATTTGAAAAACATAAGGACTTGTATGCTGATTTCAATTGCCTTGATACAATTAATTTTTTTACTGAAGGAAAACAACTTCCCAGACTAGGTTTTGAAAAGTATTGAATTGAAAAGTATTTTCACAAACATTTTATCATTTAAAACTGATTTATCTTATCAACAGCTTCATCTAGAGTACATATACTTTGTTTCAAAATGGGATAAACTTAAAATAAACTGTACAAATGTATATAACTCACAAAATAAAAGTTTTGAAGAAAGTGCAGATGAGTCAGATAATAGTACTAGTACGTACGTACCCATATTGTCTTTAAATAATTATTAATTTTAATTATGTGATCTACAGCATGTTTTAAATTTTACTTATATTAATTTACTCTTTATTTTAATTTTAGAAAATGAGCCAGAAGAAATTTGTACTCACAAAGCACATAATGCTATCAGACCTATCAAGTGTTGTGTTATTTGTTGTTTTAATATTGTAGTAAACTATAATTTGTACACTAATACTTATCCGGCTTTATATTTATCTTATAAACTACTTTTAATATTTTCAGTAACACAAGTAGGTTGTGAGCATAGCTTTTCAAAATTAAAATATGTTAAAAATTATTTGAGAATCTCTATCACTCAAGACCATTTAAAAAGTTTCATTCTCATGAGTGTAGAAAAAAAAAATTTTAACTTCTATTTGCCCAGCTACCATAATTTGGTAGCTATTAGTATTACCATAATATGTCTTCTTTTAACTAACACTGTTTAGTATAAGTTTAAACTTAAGTCTATAATTATAAATAAGTTTTCCATGTATATTATTTCATTATTATCATTTCTTGTTAATCTACTAATTATTACTATATAGCTATAAATTGCCAATTGGCGTTAAATAAATAAATAAATAAATAAATAAAAATAATTTATAAAGTTGCGTTAAATAGTGAATCATTAAAAAAATTATTAATATATTAATTTATATAAGAATAAAATTATATATATTCAATATGATTTTCAACATTAAAAAATCAAAATAACTGTATTCACAAGTACTACGAGCAATTTGTAAATAATTATGTATTATATTGTAAAAAATAATATGTTACGAACAGTTTATTTTTTAGGGGGCCTAGCCTATTTAGGCCCTTCCAATTCCTTCCTAATAAAAAAATATATGCCTATACGCCACTGAATAGTAAATTTAGAGTATTTTATTGTGATTACCACATATTTACTACCTAATATTAAGCAATAAATAAATTGATTATTCACCATTATTAAAATTGTATAAATCTTAGTACATAATACAGTTAGTAAATAGAATATTTAACTGAAATAAAAAATGTTGAAACAATTAAAAATAAATCTTTTATATATATATATACTTTTTTAATTAATTATAAAAAACAAATACCTCTAATTGTTTATCTAGTATATCTTCTTGCCATTTTAATGTTTGTATTTCTTCTTGAAGTTTTGATCTCATTTCAGCAGTTTTTTCATCTTCACTTGTTTCAACTCCCCTAACAATATACAGTTAATATAATTAGTATACAGTAATTTAAATAAACACCGAAAAAATGGTTAATTTTCTGAAAAGTGTATATAAGATCAAAAGTATTGATGAATTTACCTCCATCTAACTTGATTTTTTGTTTTTTTTTCGATCAATCCAATACCTTCTAACACATTAGTAATATCATAAATTCGTCGTTTTTGTTTAACAGCAAGCATAGCAGTTGCCTAAAAGATAGAATATTTTATTTATAGACATGTTAAAAAATGTATAACACAAAATTCCTAAGTGTATTCATAATAAAATAAAATTTTTAATTTTTTATAACACTTTCAAGAACAAAAAATATATTTTATAGAATATTATAATTTTATTTAGCTGAGTAAATAGCAAAATTGAAGGGACATATTGCGGCCATTGATGTTTTACTGGAAGTGTAAATAGTATTTTGTATCGCCTATATATTGGTAATAAATATATATTAGGACTATATTAAGCACAGGACTATATATTATTTGATATAATTTCATAAATAATATCTACAATGAAATGCACTACAGAAATTAAGTAATATTATATTTTTATGCTGTTATTTGCTTTATTATTATAATAATTGACAAATTTTAAATATTGACAATTAATTATACATTATTAGTTTATTGAGTCTAATGATAAATAATTAATGGCATATTTAGGAATGAAAAATATATATTCAATTTTACAAGTGTATGTTTATTTTAACTACCAAAGAAATATAGGATGAAATGAGGAGCACTTGCAAAACGAGTCAATATGTAGCACAAAGAAAAATATTAAAATATTAAGCAGTTGAAGGTCGTTTTTATTTAATTTTTGGTAGATCACCCAATAAGAATGTCAAATAGAAAAAGTTTTTTATTATTCATTACCATCTAATGTTTAAAGAATTAAAGTAGTTTATATTGACTTAGTATTATTCAGATGCTTACAAGATAAGAGTTCTAAAATGTACGATCATCCTTATATTTTTTGTCAATACTTTATTATCAAATTCATATAAAATGATTCTGTATTAGCATTTTCAATAAAAAATAGTATCATGAATCATATATAAATAAATTTATAACATAAAAATATTATTTGGCTTAGTTATATTATTAAAAATTACAAAATGTTATATAAATTATAAGAAACATTGTACTAAGAATAAATAAAGATCACTAAATGATGTAAATTATTTATACTATTAAAAAATGTATTCCAACTATGTCCAAACAAAAAATAAAATGTGAATTACTTTATTCAAATGCATTATTCCATCAGGAGAGTTTCTAAGGAGATCTGCAAATTTGGTAGCCAGATTGCCCAACGACTTTTCTTGTCTGCCTTTAACTAGAAGCATTTCTTCAACGGACAACATTTTTGACAACGATGGAATTTCTTCATCGCTACTCTCCACAAGGTCTACTAGTGGGTCTCGAATGTTTAGTATGTTCAAATTGTCCATCTTCACTAGAGTATTGAACAACTGAGTGCTTTAAAAATAATTTAAAAACTCAAGTTACCGAACAATAACCACGTGTGGACTAATATATCGGACCATGGTGATACTAATTGATGTGAAATAATAGCGAACGCGAGGACACGACCATTTACAATGTTGGTAAGAAAACGTAAGACAAAACCATGTCAGTATAAATAGATAAATGTGTGTATACCTACATACAGATAAGAAATAATCACTTTTATCATATTGTTATTGTTATTGAAATGCATAGCGTGTGTACTGATAAAATGCAGTAGGGGTGAATTATAAGAAAATACTCCCAAACATCGGGTTAAGCGTTGAATACTTGGTCAAAAAAAAAAAAAACTATTAATTTATCAGTTTACATACATGGATCTCTTTTAATTCGCTTTTTTGGTCCGCGTAATTTCCTGTCGCTTAAATTGCGCATAATTACGAGGGGAAATTGCAATCATTTGAAGACTAACTCGACCAACTACGTTCCCCTACACGACTATGCATTCATCGTACGAACAAAATTATACGCTTTTTCTACGGCCATCACCTGGCACGCGTTCACTACCCCTAGATCATCATTCCATCAGTACTCCGAGTATTCCTAGATTGTTCATCGTCAGTACAATACACCCTGTCCGTTTTCACGAGGTACCCACCAACCCTACCATAAGTTACTTTCAGTGTAGCAGCCTTGGATAAAAAAGAAAAATAGTTGCACCCTCCACGGTCACAATATTAATAGTAATCAGAGGTAGTTATCGATGGACACTCGGAAACACGAAAATATTTTTGCTATCGAACGATTTAGAACTCGGTGGTGTTTACATGAAAAGTCGTTATAACAGTCAGCCACGACGTTTTCGATATAAATTTAAAAATACATTCAGCCACAATAATAATATTCCACTCCTATGTCGGTACAACATATTATTACGGTATAAATGATAGACTCGTGAAATTTCAACATTGACAAATATACGAAAAATATTTTTATAATTTGCCAATTAATGTTATAAAAACAATAGTATTCACGTACAACATCAGAAACCAAATGGCTAATGATTTTCTTGTGAAAGGAATAACAATTTTAACGAGTGTTTTTAGTGGCCTTGGTGATCGTCTTTGTCATCAATTCTCTAACCACGGCGGCCCTAGTTATTTCCGGCTGAATAGTACTTACCGGTCGAATTGATACAGTTTATTGAATTGTAAAATAGGTGAGTGATCGTTTCCACACGTGAAGCATTAAAAACCGGTCGAAAAAATATTTCCGATATAAAAACGTCGAACAAAACAATATTATTATTATTACCAAGATCGAACGAAACGGGCCGTTAACTGACTGACCCGGAGTTCCCGGAAACGCATACAGCTCTGGGATTAGGTGGTCATGCTTGCGGCAACATCGCGGCCGACTGCAACTGACGGCGACTACCTTCAAAATATCTTGTCCCGAACAATGTACGACATACCTGCACCATATCACATCTATCCTCATTCTTAAACCTAACACCCATCCTTCACGCCAAACGAGTATACCACTTACCGATGTTAAAAGGGACGCGTGGGTCGTCGGACGGTAAACACAATAATACACAATCATATATTCTTGCTCACCTATGGCATTATTGTATTCATGCTTTCTTAAGCAACCATGTATTTTTAAATCGATATAATGGATAGTAAAAATAGATCGATACTATTTTTCAACAATACCCGAAAAAATAAAATTGATTCTGACGACGGGGTTTTGGGGGATGATTTACGACTCTCTTTATCCCTCTTAAATGCGCCGAAAGGTTGAGTGACCAATACTTGGGCTTAACTTAAAATAAACAACTTGCTTTTACCCATAAGAAACCTGATATCTGTATGACATTTTTTTTTATAGTGGTGTAGACGTATAATGTCGTACTCAAGATGCTAACTGAGTGGGAGGGGTATACAAATAATACCTACAATACATTTAAACAACGAAAAACTTGTAAGACTTTTTTCATTCAGAATATAAATCTAGAAACATAAACAATGTTTGATACTTACGATAATTCTAATAATGTTCAAACACAGGGGCGAAATTAGTGGGAGGAAGACCCCTCGTCTTGATTTCCGGGCATTCATTTTTAGAGGGTGTAATTTTTGTAGTAAATCTATTATTGATTATAGGTTTGATATTTTTATTTTTTTTACTGATAATTTGTTTAAAACTCAATAAATATGATTCTTTACTATTTATTGGATAATAATTGTAGGGAGGGGTATTTGATTCTTGATCAATGATAGGTAGTAATTTTAACATTTTCCCCGGACGTAAAAATGCTTAGTTAAAATGACATATTGTACAATTGTCATGGATGTATTTCGTATTACAGTTTTATTTAGATAATATATATTTTTGATTGACTTGTGTTATGCATTCCTTCACAAACATTGTCTAAATAATGAATTTGAATTATTTTATTAGATTATTTATAATTTTAGGGTAGTATATACTTGGACAATGATTGACAATAATGATGAAAATCTCCGCTAGCCATCGCCGCTGGGAATCCATTGATCTACCATGGACCATTCGTATTGATTTTTTTTTTTCATATTTATATTGATGCATAACAGTAACTTGACTAATATTAGTTAGCTAATATAAAAAAACTAATATCAGGGTTCAATTGAAAAATGTTTATGGTCATATTAATTTTGTTAAAAAGGAATAAATTGTTTTTTTCATTCCTGGCATGAAAAAAGAAAAGTTTCTTTCCTCGTTCTTACTTAAGAAACATTTTTCGTTCTTTAGTAATTTAATAATTACATTTTTATAATTTATAGTTGAGCAGTTTTTTCAGTCAGTAATAATATTATAATATTATTAAATTAAAAATACATAAGAATGCATTTTGAAGTTTTGTCCTGGGCGAAATATTTGGTTGCTACGGTACTCTGGACTGTAGTTAATATAAATTAATACTTGAATTAATTGGCTTATATTTATTTTGTGTATATACAATGACATTTTTTTCTGAAAAATTATTGGTCCTAAATCTGCTTGTTTTTTTAAGGTCGCTCCACACCAGAGCTTGCGTTAAAGAAATATTAGAGCTGCACATCCTGTTTGTTTTACAGAAGTGAAAAAAATTTGACACTCGCTTCGCTGGCATATAATAAATAATACATACTAACATCAATATTAAATTATATTATACATCATAATGTATATATATTTTAATAATTGAAATAACAAATTCCTTTAATTTAATTTTAAAATGATTTCTTTTTCTTTTTTTGTGACAACCTCTTCATCATCAGTATTACTATATTCAAATTGGTGATGTTTGTTTGTAGCATCTGGAAACACACCATTAAAATAATTTTGTTGCTTAGCCTTTGTTCTTGTAATTATTCGATGTTTTTTGCTGTTCATCCATTTGACAATTGACATATTAGAATCCCAATCATACAAGAGAGGCAAGTTATAACTAATGTATAAGTATATATTTTCAGTTGAAACATTCATGGTGGAATTTAATGGAGACTTTAATAAATTACTAATACCGTAAATTTAATCTCTTGATATTCATGGATATTTATTATTAATGTTTTAATCGTAATTTCTAATAATTCCGGAAAACAAAATAATGTCAAATGGTACCTATTTTACAAACTCATAGACATATAGAATTAATTATTCAAAATTAAAATCATATTTTTTTTTTTATGAACTGCACAACATTTAAATAAGAACTGCACATTATATGTACAAATGCACATTAGCACAAGCTCTGCTCCACACTATGCATTTTTCGCGTTTCGTAGAAAAGGTATACACACAATGCATGTTTCGTGTTTTTCGTTTTCTAGTATAATATCTTGCGCCCTTTGATTTCGTCAATTTTACCGTCTCGTTCGCGAAACACAGCGGAACAATTTTCACGAAAAATGTTTTCGTGAAAATGCTATACAAACTATTCACGAAATTCAACGAAAATGTGAAAACATGAAAAGCGAAACATTCATAGCGTGGAGTGACCTTTATGTTAGTATTTTAACACCAAGGTATAAGGGTAAAATTGGAAACAGTAGATTAAAAATACTAACCGATAGACAATTAATTTGAATTGCAACTGATCTTTTTAAGTATTTGAATAATTTTTTAATTATCAAAATGTTCATTCCTATGACAAAACTGACATTGCTTGGACAATTTGTTAATATCTGTATCGTAGTAATAGAACAGTAATTATAATTGAAACTAACAAATTATATCAATTTTTTTTGTCTATTTAAGCATATTCTAAAAATAATTCATGGTTCAACAAACTTTTTCTGGTATATTTCTTGAGAAAAAAAAATAACAAAGATAAGATTACTATCATTGGAAAATAATCAATGGAGAAAATGTCAGTTAACCCTTATCAAAAAATATTGTACTGTTAATTTTACAAGAAAAACGGTTTGAAAAATTTAAATAAAGAAAACAAAATGAAATATACATTTAATTGTATTTATTGTTTTTATTTAAAATGTTCAATGATGTTATAACAGAACAAATAAAAAATAAAATGTTTTATTTATTCGAATAATTTAACGTTTACTAGGAGCAGAATCATTGTTTTTCAATATCTTTTGTTTTAAATGTTCTTTGTAATCTAAAATAGTAGACTGCCATTTCGTAGCTTTACCATTTTCACAAATCCAAATTTCTTCAGCTACCTGTTATAAAATATATATATAAGTAAAATTATTGACACATAATGTTTAAAAAAATAATTTGTTAGAATATTAAAAATCATTAGAATAGTAATATACATTTTTAAAATCCTTGATTGAAATTTTAAGTAATTTAATATATGTTTCATTTTTTTTTTTTACTACTATCAATGTATTTTAATTTTATTTAAATATTTTTATAATCATAGTAAGAAAAATTAAAGATATTTAGTTTACCTGAGAAATTAATCTGAAGTCGTGGCTAACTAAAACCATGCCACCATCAAAATCATTTATAGCATCTGCTAATGAATCAATTGTCTCCATGTCTAAATGATTGGTAGGTTCATCAAGTAGTAATAAATGAGGAGTTTGCCAAGCTAAATAAGCAAAAACAACTCTACATCTCTGACCATCACTAAGTTGACGAATTGGGCACACCTGGTAAAAGAATTTTTTTTAAGAATTGAGCACCTTATTATTTTGTTGGTCAAAAGGTCATGTGTCGTAATCCACAAAAACATAATTTTAAAAGAGACACTTTGAACGTGTTATCAATATTTATCATATTGGTTTATGACGTTTAATAAACGATTAATATTAAAATTCAAATAGTTAAATCGTACAGTGGGTTGCGACAGTTGGTAGAACACAAGAAAATTGTATGAAATTTAATACTTCGTTAAAAACCTATTTTCGACCAAAATGAGGGTCACAACAATTGACCTATAGACCAACAATTTATTAGAGAGTTAACCAACTTGTTGCCTTCCAGTTAAACCATAGCGTCCAATAATCTTACGCATTTCTTCTCGTTCTTTTACTTCAGGGAATGAATTCATCATATATTCTAAAGGAGATAAATCCAAATCAAGGAGTTCATGAAGATGCTGATGATATCTAGCAATTCTTAAATGAGAATTTTTACGAATCATTCCTTCGGTAGGGAAAAGCTAAAAATAATTACATTTTATGAAAATAAATAAATAAATTAAAACTTAATAAAATATTATACTTACTTCACCATAAAGTAATTTTAGAAGAGTACTTTTACCAGCTCCATTAGGTCCAACTAATGCAAGTCTTGTATCCAAATCAATACCGAATTCCAAATTTTTATAAATATAAGGAGAGTCATCATTATACCGAAAACTTACATTCTAAAAACCATGATAAATAATATTAATTAGTAACTACACTCCGAACTTATATTTGATTAGTTTTAAATTTAGTTATTAAGTATTTTAATATGTAAATAATATAAATAAAAATTATTTTTACATAAAATGCAAAAAAAAAATAAGGCCCGTTCTTACAATGTTCAGTTAGTGTTGGTTACCTATCCGTAATGTCGTTAGTTACGTACCAGTTACAGCAATCCATTCTTACAATCTTCGATTAAAAATCATATAACTATCCGGCAGTTTTAATACAAGTGAATTCCAAGACAACCGCCCATTAACAAATTGTAATGTTCTACACATGCATAGGTAAGCATTGAATTCTTGAGTTATCATTTGTTATTGTTGTTCTTTATACTATCTGATAATTTGTTATAATGTTATATTTTCTTGACTGTTGAATTTATAAAACCCAATATTCTTATTTCTTATAAGACATAAGCTATATTATTTTATATAGATATAAGTTATAACACATTATAAATTTGTCAAAAAATAATAGTAAGAAACTCTGATGGAGTAATTTTTCTGTAACAGAAGAGAATATA